GTGAGGTGAATTTTATATTTAATTAAGAAATGTGGACATGGCTTTGGCTTCCAAAAGTGATATAGGCCAATGTACATTGTAAAGGTGAGAAAACATCTCTATTGCAAAATCCCAGTTGAAATATGGGCTCCAATGTGAACGTTTCAATCAAACAAGTAGTCGTTTTTTTTCAATGAAAAATTGTTTAATGAGAGTTAACATTGTGGCTGTGAGGAAGCTTGCAAAACACACTGGTAGTACCTTTTTAACCTCAGTGGAGTTGGAGCAAGCCAACAGCAACCCAATATACAGAATAAAAGTAGAACACCTCAGAACATCAGCATTGTTGCTACAATTTAAAACAGATGGAAAAAAAAAAAACAAAAATGAAACACTATCAATTTTGGTGACTTGGGACTTGGGACAGTACTTAGTGTTTTGTTTGATTGTCTAATGTTGTGTGTGTTTGTGTGTGTGTTGTTTTCCAGGGGAAAGAAGGATGTGTTGTCAAGATCTTTAAACAACATCCTGAGGAGGGCAGATTTGGACGAGGAAGGCCCCACTTGTCGATATATTCTGCTTCCCACCAAGAGGTCCTCTTTTATACTGCCTGAAAGGGTGAGACACAACACACACGCACACACACAACACACAGTACACACAGTACACTGTCTGGCTGCCTAAGAGGTGACAGAAGTACTCACACTCTCTGTGTTCGAAGGTACGAGACACCTCAGGTAGCGTTGAATTGTGGGATCATGCTAAGGGAGTGCATCCGCCACGAGCCGCTCGCCAAGATAGTCCTTCACTCGGACCATTTCAACAGCTTCTTCAACTACGTGGAGATGTCCACCTTTGACATCGCCTCCGACGCCTTCGCCACCTTCAAGGTACCTCCCGGTTTTCCTGTTCTAGTCTGTTTGCTTTTAATTTGGTTTAACCGGCCTTTTTAAGATGGGTTCTGACCTTTTCAACACAGGTTGCAGCAGGTTTAATTTCATGTTTATTGAGGCAAACCCTAAACTGGAATGAATTATCACCTATTTTTACCTGTTGACCACAGACCATTGTCCCTGACAAATTAATTTACTTTTAAAAGTTTTTACTTTTATAAAACTTCAGGAGTTTTTTGCATTTAACTTCTTTTCAGAGTTTGTTGATGATGACTTGAAACAAAAAGGCAATTGTATTACAAAATAAATAAGTAGAGTATGTTCTACCTGCATTATTACTGTTCAGAAAGTGGGCATTTCCTTTTGTTTAGGTTAAGTTTAATAATGTTTACCTCTATTTTCTGATAAATAAAAAAAAAAAATCATTAAACAAATGTGTCTTTCTTCACAGGATCTCCTGACAAGACACAAAGTGCTTGTGGCTGAATACCTCGAACAGAACTACGATGCTGTGAGTAATATTTCCCAACACTGTGGCTCTAACCTGCAGAGGAGTAGTGTGGAAAACACATGATGGATGAAAGTTAATAGCTACCACACATGTTAAAGCAGGTTTGCCGTGTTATTTTGAACCAGCGTCGCCAGGTGGAACTTTTTAAACTTGCATCACGCCTCTCCTCCACCCCAGACCACATCCATTCAACGCACACACACCCACCTCCCACGTATGTCACGTAGCATCAGCCCGCTGAGCGCTATTTGGAGGCATAAACATAAACACTGGGTCTAAATGACTGCTTGAGCAGTAGGACCCCCAAAAGAAGAAAAAAGAACACACAGATACATAACCACATCGGGTATCAGTCACTTCAGCGCTCAATGGTCCAGTCACACATCCCAAAAAAAAAAAGGTTTGTCTCGTTGAACACACTTTGGTCACACACACAGGCGTTCACATGGATAGTAAGAAACAAGGTTCTGACCAATCCACTTCAAGTTCCAGGAAAACTGAATCAGTGGAAAGCCCTCTCAGTGTCACAACTGGTCTAGATACAAAGCTCAGCTCTATGCTGTCAGTTTCGCCAGGCAGAGGGGTCCCTTTCATAAGCTAGGGCCCACCCAGGGGTCTCAGGCTGAAGAAACCCCACACAAAACTGCCTTTTTACCTGGACGTTGTGTGTTGACAGATGTCTCTGTGAAGTCTGTCGGGTCGGTGCTGTGGCCTGCCAGGTACATTTACAGCAGCGCATTAGTTTTTGACTGATTTTAGCATCTGTGATATACCTAAAATAACAGATTACTGTGGTAAGGTGTACTTACCCTCCTTCAGTCAGTTTGGTAAGAAATAAATAAGATTAGTTTAAGAGTAAGAGACATAAAATTCAATGTAAGAGATGACATTACGTGGCAGAGCTTGTGTCTTTTCTGAAAGTTTGTAGGAAGTTGGCCGAAGAATCCACTTCCTCTTTGTTGCATTTTTTTTTTTTTTTTACCTGTCTTAATGCCCACATACAAGTAGTTTTGGTCATTTTTGATGGTGTTTCCGTGGTGGCAAATGTCCAAATATCCAAAACACAGGCAGCTACCTAAACATGTTAAACCACAAGCCTAATGTCTCAAATTTCACCCTGGTCTGTTAATGTATAATAATGAGGTGTGTTTCTTTTATAATTGTAGGTGTTTGCAGACTATGAGAAGCTGCTGCATTCTGAGAACTACGTCACCAAGAGGCAGTCTCTAAAGGTTTGACTCTGACTCATACATTGATTTATAATCATTAAAGCTAGTCTTAAAAAAAAATGTGACCCAACACTATGACTCACTGTGAAACTATAAATATCGCAAGACAGCATCTTCAAATAGGAATTCAATTTGCACTCATTCAGGAGAACTGTGTACATTAAAAAAGATGTAATAATTACAAACTGGCGTAGAGAAAAAACGACCACTATAACGATCTTGACCAGCTATGTTGCAACTGCTTCGGCGAGCAGTGTTTGTGGGTGGGAAGCCGGTGAGGGATTGTGTGTTACTACCAGCTCCTACTGTTTGGTTGGGCGTCACTGTCAGAGTAAATAGAGGGTAGTTAACGTTCTCCCCAAGTCAACAGAGGGAGTTACCAGCCCCACCTTTGGACCCCTGACACCACTATCGGGCTTAAATTTAGTCCATGCACGATCCAATAACACGTAAGTTATTAGCCCTGAAACGGACCCTGATACTTCACAGCAGTGTGCCATTTGCTATGCATCAGCTGTACGCAAATTCAGGTATTGCTATCAGGAAGGAAAATATGGTATTGGAACATGAATCTAGTGGATGTCTCTAATATCTAATTTCTTTGTCTCATTGCTTTTGACCATGCCTCCCTTTAGCTTCTGGGCGAGCTGCTGTTGGACAGACATAACTTCACGGTGATGACGCGCTACATCAGCAAGCCGGAGAATCTCAAGCTGATGATGAACCTGCTAAGAGACAAGAGTCCCAACATCCAGTTTGAAGCCTTCCACGTTTTCAAGGTAAAAACGCCACGCCCATGCATGTAACAGCAAATATGGATCCATTCAGTTCAGAAAAGTGCTGTTCAACTTCTAATATCTAATATGTTTTCATTAGTGTAAAATCCCATTTGAATAAACTGTTTTTATCCTCTGCTAAGGAGTCTGCCATGTTAAATCGCCATGTATCTACAGTAGCCCATGAGGGACAAACCAAAGACTGGCTGTAGATCAGGCTCTTAAGGTTTTTTCCAGCCACCATAGTTTCTCCTACACACTTGGAACGGGTGGAGACAAGGGCATTGTAACCTGCAACTATACCACTAGATGCCACTAAATCCAATTTCTGCCTATGTTGTTCTGTGTATTCTCTTAATCTATAGATTAAATAACAGACTGGCTTCTTACAAAGTCTATCAGCTGATGCACAAAGATCCAAATCAAAGCCAGTAGAGAAATCACAAGTCTGTAATCAAGTTTTCCTACCTGTGTTAGGGGCTTCTATTTAGGCTATTTAGTCCACGCAGTCATGCCTCTTGGACTGTACACAGATGGTGTTTCACCCAGAAAGTATAATTTGAGCTTTAGGGTTTCCACAGTCAGCCAGTCACATAATGGTGAATTCTAGCGATCTCTGAGAAAAGAAATACGCCAAAGAAAGAAAGAATAATGTAACCCAGTTATTCTATCACAATATGAACTCTAGCGAAGGCCAGTAAAACTTTCTGTTTTTCGTCCTCAGGTTTTTGTAGCGAACCCCAACAAGACGCAGCCCATCATCGACATCCTGCTCAAGAACCAGACCAAACTAATCGACTTCCTGAGCAACTTCCAGAAGGACCGCATGGATGACGAGCAGTTCAACGACGAGAAGACCTACCTAATCAAACAGATCCGGGATCTGAAGAAACCGGCCTCCTAGAGGAGCTCCCTGCCCTCTACCCCGACTTTTTATCGATGGGAAGACATACAGTAGAAAAAAAATACATTAACAATAATGGTTACTCTATTTAAAAAAAAAAAAATCTTCAAGACGTTATTTGTCTTTTTTCTCTTTGTTGGTTCATTTAAAACTTGTGCAACGTAGTTCTCAATCACTGATGTTTCTTTTGTAAATTTTTCTCATTAAATAATTTTTTTTGTAGCATGTAGTGCCACAACTCATGGTGTTGGAGGCAGCTGATTTGCTCTGTTGGGAGAACCAGCGAAAAAGCTTCGGCCAGAATGGTCCAGTGGCTGTCAGACAAAACACACGTGACCATTTTTGTAATTTTATCACAGTCGCCTGTTAAAGGTGGTCTGTTAGTTGCTGCACACAAGTTAATTTCTAACTGTTTAAATGAAGTAGCTGCAAATCAAAAAAACAATGAAGAATTTCTGCTTTTCTTTCTTCTTTAGCTGGGTCAACGTGTCTAGTTGGTATCTGGCAAAAATACACTTTAGAGCAAGACCGTCTGAAGTGTGAAACACCTCAGTCATTGCTAAAAGCTTCGTTAGCCAAATGGAAACAGTAATCCTTCTGCTAGCCAAACATCTCTCTTATTGTACTGCCAAAGCCAATGACTGCTACAGTTTTCTCTCTAAAACTAAAAAGCATCAACACATGCCAACGAAGAATCATGGATTCACACTCTCGTCTTCCTTACTATTCCTCAAAAACTAATGTTTTAACGCAAAACTATTTTTCGTGTTGGTAATTTAACGAGGGAAAGGCTGAAGCAGTTCTCTGAAGTTGAGAACACTCTACAACATAATAATAATAATAATAATAATCAATTGGAAAATGGTTGGTGGGCCACCTGGCACCCTATTTGGCCCACAGGCTTTATTTTAAATGCTTCGGCAGGTGACTGCAGATGTTATCTTGTGCAATGCTGGAATTTCTAAAGCCTCTGAACACCCACACAGGAGTTTACAGTTAACCTGGCTGATTAGACCTCTGCTCAGGACTGTGCGGGCCTGTATATTGTGATTGAGTGACATCATGCTGAGTCTCCTGTTAGCTTTGTTGCACCCATTAGGGCGGGACAAATGATACCTTTATCATTCTTATTGGAGATAATTCAAAATTTGTGACGAAATTCCCATTCAAAGCTCAAGCCCAACTTCAAACTGAGCAAGTCTAATCCACCAGAATAACTGAAAACTGTGTGGGTGTTCAGAGGCTTTAGAAGCATCAAACTGTGCCACTCTAACTGCAGTAAGAGAATTAGCTTTAGCAAGACTGCGAATTTGAGGTGTTTTGAGAGAACTGGTTTTAGTCACAGTTGACCAAAAATTGCAAATACAAACTAGTACTCGTAGGAATATTTGAAGTCTTTGAAATGAAAGGCCTTTTTAAATTGTATCGTGACATTGGGCTACTATCGGTACAGTAAGCTTCAATCATTTCGATCACTGGTTCTCTTCGTTGGTGGCTGATAGCACTTTCTGTAAGATAAAAAAAAAATATGATGATTCAAATGTTTTTTCGTTAATCTTAAGCCGATCACTGTTTCCACACTGCTTGATGGTATTTTTTTTATATATATATAGTTTCATTTCTTGTACAGTTTATGGTTTGCACACCTGAAGTGAGTGCCATTGTGAGTGAGAACATTGAACATTAACAGGAGGCACTTTGCTGTGTGGAGGAGCTCCTCGTTGAGAGAGGAGAGCAGCTGTAAAGATGGCTGTTTTTTGCTTCACTTCTTTTTTTCTTTCTGTACTGTAACAAGTGTTTTTGCTCTGTTTTGGATCTAATGTTGGTATTAGAATGGAAACGTGAGAAGATTCAGAGGTGCCTTTTTTGGTTTGGTGTGTATTCCCTTCTTTGCTCTAATCTTGTTTGTTTTTTTGTATTTTCAGTATCTTTCTAGGGGGAGCTTAATTATTATGTTAATGAAAATATGCTCTTGATAGAACATATTTGTTGTGATTAAGCAGTGAACCTCTTAACTCGCTATATTTGAGTTACGCTATCAAAGAAACATTTTGAACTTTTTGCAGCTAATTGGTTGCCATTGTGTACGGACCAGGGTCACAGTTTCACTTTGAATTTGTCACCAATGAGGCGCTGGTTCAATATGTGAATTATCAACTGTGTCAGCAACTCAATGTGTAACTCGTCACAGAGTGAGGCCAAAGTTGACCTGCAACATGATTTCAATGGTGAAATGTAACTGTGAAAAATCCACCTGTCGTTAAAGGACCATAAAATGTGCAGAATCAGTGAGGTTGGAATACTACTTTTAAAGTGGTGTTGGTTTTATATTTGACTTGGAAATGAAAAACTATTCTGTTTTCTAAAAATGAAGAAATCAAGTGAGTAAAATTTTGAATTTATTTCCCAATCAATATTTGATGTGCAACCATTATATTATTAAAAAATTACAAGTCTTTTTAATTGGCCCTTCATAAGCCACGCCCATTTTTGGTATGTGCTATTGGAGCACAGAGCAAAAAGGGCCAGGGTCTTAGGAAGGAACCTCAACCTTCACTCTAAACTGTTTCAAGTAGTATTTAAACACTAATGTTTTGCTATCACTTGTTAAATACAGCTGATCTGAACAGTAATAAAGGCAGAAGTGGAGTACAGTACGGTGACGGTAACAATCATAAACCTGTTAATTGCCGTTCTTTTTTTTTTTTCCTGGTGTAAAAGAAAAATGAAAAAAGTGTTCTCCATGTTTTGTCTTTTGGGTGAAAAATAAAAAACAATACCAGCCTTTTTATGTTATAAGCTGTGACATATTACACTATATCTGAATATAACGTGAGATGCAAAAGTAGACCAACCAGCTTTACATCAGACTTGTCACTTGAGCCAAACTCCACTACGTCCCTTGTTTTTTTTTTTTGCTTGCCTGCCTAAAACAATGAGCAACTTTGATCCCAGCAGAATTCCACATTATCTTCCCCGTGTCCCCCTGAAAACCGCCACTTTATTTTCCACATTGATGCTATTGTACCACATTCATGGCAAATAAAAGGATGGGAATGCATGCTTTGTGTGCGTGTTCATTTCTCACTTGTTTACAGGCAGGTGGTGTGCAATTACGGATGTTGATCATCCACTGTTACAGAGTCAAGAAACATCTTGTTTTTTCATTATTTTATTTTCATTCTGTGTATATATTGCAGCATGTCAGTTTCAAGAGTTTAACTTGTTTTTCTGAATGATGCTGAGAGGCTCCACAGCTAACACTCTGAGATTAACTCAGTCTTTAAGTCTTTCTCCATGAATGGATCTCAGCTACAGAAACATTTGAACTGCGTGTGAGAAAAAAGGTATGACATACAATGCAAGTAGAACGGGTTCTCGTGCAGAATCCTCAACACTTTGGTTAAATAATGAAAATAATGACGCCAGATTAAAGCTTCGCTATCAAATTCCTTCTTTCTTAAAACTGCTTCATGAAGCATTTTATCCAATGCATCTTTATTACTGTGAAATGAATCATGACTTCATGATTTAAAGAAAGAGAACACTTTGTTCTTTTGGTATTACTGAAACAAAATCTCATTTTCTTTTAATCTAATCCTTTCATGAGGAAGATGCTGCTTCCTCTTTGTCTTCGTCTGCACTTCGGAGAATAAATATGACGGAAGGGATTTTTTTTTCTTTCAAGCCTGAGTTGCAAACTGAGTGCATTTTGCTTCAAATTAAAATGAAAAACAAAACAATTGTAATATAATCTTCAGTAAAATATTCTTACAGTCTTTCAAATTAAATGATCCGAGAGCTGGAGTGCTGCGTCAGCATCTGCAGTTCTTTTAAACATTATTCAAGTCAACATCCTAGAGAACTGGGGCTACACCCATGGTACCCTGTGCATTCAACTTACAGTATTTAAATAAACTATTTAAACCACTTTATATAAAAGATTATCAACATCATGAACAAATCCACATATCACACTTTATATTACTATATTAAATATACTATTTTTTGTGGTATCCTTACTATCCCTACAGTCTCCAACATCCACATGCATTCCTTACCTCTTCCCTCATTATTGCATCCATCCATCCATCCATCCATCCCTTCTTAAAGGTTTCTCTCTGAGGTCAGCGTGTTGTATGGTTTTCATCTTGTCCTCGTCTCTCCAACCCCCTGCCAATGACTTCTGAATAACAGGACGTAAAAGATACGGCGGATGGAAAGTTAGAGATCATGTGTTCTAAGGGCGGCTCCCTCTTCTTAGATTTGAGCCTTAAAAGGACACAATTCCTATTCAAAGCAGTCCCAGGTAGTTCAAATACAACCTTTTAGGTTTCAACTTCACCAATCTTCATCTGAGACTGCCAGCGTCTGCTGTCCATTATCACTCAGTATGGTATAAAACATAAACATGCAGCAGCAGATTCAACAGTCTACAGAAGGACACAGGAAAGATGTTGATGTTCACATATACACTAACCAATGATCAATCAATGATTTCCTAAAAAAAAAAAACATGGCTCACAAAACCAACCCCAGTTCTGGGTAAAAGAGCAAATAAATAATGTAAAATAATGATGTGGCACAGATTTGATGTTCAGGGAGGAAATAATATTTAGACTCCTCCCAGCTCGAGCCATAAAACATCTAATCTGTGGAAAGTTGGCTAAAAACCGGATTCTGTGTTGTTGTTTTTTTTGTGTATCCATTCATCGGTCTGTCCATCAATCCATCTATGGCCAACGTTCAGCTAACAGTAGGCGAGTCGTGCGATCTGTTGGTGCACAGCTTCTTGGTGCTGTGGCTTTCTTGATCGGTCTGCCTGCTGTGCTTCCCGACACAACCGTCTGGAACAGAAAGACACCACTGTTACAATACGACCCAATAAAAAGGCCCATTTGAAGACGTAAAGAGAACAAGATGGAACTTACTGGCCCGGTGAGGAGAGGACGCTGAGCCAGGTGAAGGGCTCTTCTGCCACTGTGGAGAGAGAAAACTGTCAGAGTCTCCAAGGTGGATGAAATCTAATCTACTTTCATCAACTACACCAACAGCAAGACATCAAAAAGCTGCTGAGTCACAGGAGATTTCATTATGTGACAGAATTAATTAACATACTTTTGAACAGATTGTCACGTAGAGTGTAGAAATTCGCCTTAGATATGTTTTGATGGCTTAAAACTTGATTGTACCCACAAAAATGAAGTGATGGTGCTGTAGTGCAAACAAAAAACATCTAAAAACCAGCAGGTAAACATAAAAGAGTATATAACCATATTGTGCTAGTTACTGTTAACACTTTGTGTCATCCTAGTCAAGAAGTGTGTGAAATCTGAACCCAGTTAATTTTTAAATTATGGCTAAAATCCTATTTTGAGGTCACAATGACCTTTGACCTTTGAGTCAAACGTGTCACAGATTCAACGTCCAACCAACTGTGGAATATGGGCACAATCTCCCTTTCTGTTCCTGAGTTACAGTGTTGAATAAAGGCAAAACCGGTGTTTTTCCAGGACATGGTGACATGATATGTCACAGTGAAGTTGACCTTTGACCTTTTGGGTAAAAAAAACAAAAACAACAAAAAAAACCTTCACTGCTGTGTCCCATTAAACATCGGTATGACATTTTGTCATAATTATCGCATCAGTTCTTGAGTTATGGCCAGAAATGTGGTCACAGTGAACCACCAAGTTCTGATCTGATGTGATGTACCTAAAAAACATAATCAGCAGCTTTATTAATGTGATTAACGCTAACAATAATTCTCCATGTACTAACTATGAACTTGCTGATGTTCTTCAGGCTGCTGAACCGCAGGTAAGAAATGTCCCCCTTGTCCTTGTCCCGGTCCTGGTCGGTGGTGTAGATGTGTGTGATGCCGGCTCCTCTGATCAGAGGCACACACTCGTCGCATGGACATTTGGTCACAAACAGCATGGTGGGCTCCTCTGGTTTGATGGCTCGAGTCCTAAAAGCGGCAGGAGTAACACTTCTGTCAGACACCGTTTAGATTTAAAGGAGAGTTTTTCACATCCTCGCCCCCCCCCTCCGCCGTATACACGGATGTGTTCTGACCTGAAGGTGAGGGCGTTCTGCTCTGCGTGAATGATGTATCTGTACTTGCGCCTCTGCCGGTCCTCCTGTTTGTTGTCCATCTGGGGGTACTCGGCGTACTGTGAGCCTGCTGGGTAAGCGTTGTACCCACAACCCACCAGGTACAGACAGCCTGTTCCATCACTGCCAGCCTGGGACAACAGTATCAGTGATACAGTTAATAATGTGGTACATCTACATTCACTAATATACCAAAATGAGAAAGAGAGAGGGTTGGAATCCACTGCAAAGTCTGTTTTAACTAATTATATCTAATTCTCACTAACACAACATATAATCAGTAATCTAACACATTAGAGAGTAACATACAGTATTTAACTTGCACCAACAGCACTTACAAAAGGTGTTAGCATGGACTAGAGTATGTTTTCATCACCATAGCACAGAAGCTAACTGGAGGGATTTGTCAAAAGCTATCAGCTTGAAACAGCACACTGTATCCGCCGACGCTGAAAACACCAATGCATTAATACAATCACCCATAAATGGATTCATGTGATCTTATTTTGAGTGGAACAAATCTCTACGAGGCTGACATTATCGGTTTTGACCATTCTGCCGTCGGCTGAGCGTCAAATCCTAACCAGAAAAGAGAAATAATGTCATTTTGCACCAGAGATTAAAACAAAGCAAACGTAGGAGAGGTGAGCTCACCGACTGTCCTTTGGCCCAGATAACAGCACCCACTCCCAATTTAGGGTCCTCTGGAATGAAAATGAGTTGTAAGAAGCTGGTATCAAATATCAAACTGACAAGAATTCTGTTTATCATTCAAAAAAATGTCCTACAGGCACGGATCTGTTGCCTCACCCTTTAAAAACTTGAAAATCACAGACAGAACAAAGCTAGAATACGGGCGGAGCAGTTCGACGACTTGAGTTACATAATCGAAACTAAACAGTAGCTGGACTGACACCAAAATTGAGCTCATCAGACCTGTTCTGTAAGCCAGCAGCCGGGCTTGTACGATGCAATGGCGAGCCACATCTTGGGACAGTCCGTCGTGGCGAGGAGGTGGCGGGGATTTGGCTAGGGATGACTCGGGCGTTGAATGCTGCTCCCTGTCTCACAAAAACAACACAATCAACAACAAATAACATCTGCTGACGGCGTGTGCAAAAAAAAAACCCAAAAAGAGCTGTGAGTGTTTCGAACCTGTAGAAGCCGTGTTGTTGCTGTGGCACCCCAGCAGCCACTGCGGCGAGAACCTCCACCAGCTCCCTCATGTTGTTTCTCAGGTTGGAGAAGTACGGCTCCACGCAGAAGTTCTCCAGACCCATATGGGTCAAAATGTACCGGTGCTGCCGAGGCGTCTCAACCAGGAACTGTCTGGAGAAGTGCTTCAGGTGTCTGGTCCACTCTCTGGAAAGCAGGAGGAGTTTATGCTGTTTATATGCAACCAGACTTTTAATCTGAAAACTCTTGCATGATCAAAACTGAGCTCCAGTCCCACTTTATACAGATTTTGAAGCTTGTCAATGGAGTCAGAAGCTTTGACTACTGAAACCAAACCTAAGCTGTAAGCCACAGCATTATTCAGGTCTTCACATGCAACTGGATATCACTGGACTCGTCTTTGTAGTGACTTCTTTAAACTTCTTTTTCTTATTGATTCAGCAACAAAGGTAGGTTGGAAAAGGTACCTGTTGAAAAGTTCCTCTGTGTTCAGCCCTGGTTCATCGTCAGCCACTCTCTCCATGAAATCACACTCTCTGGACGTCTCGTCAACGAACTGCGCCAGGCCGGGCGCCAGCGGCTGCAGCAGCACGCAGATGTGAGGGCGGCTGTTGGACTTGAGCTTCTCGATTGCCACGGCGTCCAGCGCGGCCTCCTCCGTGATGCTGTCGGGTGGGCTGCGGGATTTTGAATGGTTTGTAGAGGTGGAGCTCAGCATGCTGACCTCGGGGTCCCCGGGCCAGAAGGAGATCTGACTGACTCCCGCTGGAGAGAAGAGCAAACAGCTTCATCAGCGTTTTTGTTTCCAGTTACTGTTAACTGCTCCGAGTGGAGGTCAGAAGGACCAATCCAAAGTTCAGCTGTATAAAGTCAGTATGATCATATTATATTGTATTTACAACAGTGTGACAGCACCTGGACAGAGTGCCAAACCACCGTTTTAACAATCACTATCAGGATGAGGTTCACATTTGCACGAAACAATAAAAACGCCGCACGCGATACAAAGATACTGCTTGCCAAGGCTGCCTCTTTCAAAACAGATGAAAGTAGAAGTAATGGCAAACAAATTCCTCAGAGTGAGTCTAATAAAAGCATTTAGGATGGTGATGTTCTGAGAACTCTGCAAACATGGGGGAGACACCGTGGGTTTAACAACATGCAGTTTGTGTTGGTGCCTCAGCGTGATGGTGCTGCTGTGGGGGCAATGCAGACCACAAGAGCAACGTGTCCCTGCTCATAATGCAGAGGTTACTACCAACTGCTGCCTAGCTGACCCAAGAGTAAAAGAGGCAATATGGAATGTGGTCAACACACTTGATCCAAATGCTGTTTAATAATAATGTAAATGGTTAAAATTGTTGCAGTATGCAGCAGAGATGGAAGGAACAAAGAACAAAAGCAGTTTTTTTTTCTTCTATCTGTACTTTACTTGAGTACAAGTATTTTTACTTCCTACAATTTGACACAAATATCTCTACTTTCTACACTTTAGATGTTAAAAACAGGCTTTTCCCTTGAGTTTGAATGCATTCGAGGGGCATGATCAATTATTCATATTTTTCATCTTTGAACGCCTTCCCGACATCAAGACCAGTACACGCCACGCATGACAGACGTAACAACACTACATATGTCCTCCAGAGAAACCAAGAGAGTACTTTTTACTTTTATACTTTGAGTACATTTGAGAGCCTGTACTTTTTTTTAAATTTATTTGTACTTCTACTTGAGTAAAGAATGTGTTTACTTGTGCCACCTCTGGTATGTAGGCTCTGCACTCAAACCATGATAATGGCTGTCAACAACAACCTTAATTAACTAGACGTTTCTACATGTGTTCCCATTGAAATGTGTGCATTTGTATAAAAGGCCTCATAATAAGACTCAACTGCTGTTTGGTTTCACTTCATTAATTCAATATCACGTCACTGTTTTCAATTGATAAACAAACTGGAGATGGGAGCGGTAGCAGTCAGGCAATCTAGAAACGAGATAGGCAAAGTAGGCTAGACTAGAAATAGTACATGGAACTGGTCCAATTTATGGCACAGAATGCTCAACCTGTTTGTTTCTGTCTATTAATCCCTCTGCCATCCCTCTCTCCTCACCGTTGATGATCATCTTGAGGCAGGTGGCGCAGGGTCTCCTGGAGAAGTACAAGTGACAGTCAGCCAGGCTGGCGCCGTGTTGTATGATGGCTGCCTGTCCTGCGTGGAGCTCAGGTCCTGAACAGTGGAGTCCCACCACCTTACTGTCCCGCACAACCACCAGACCAATCCCACGGACCTGGAAGACAGCAGATTTAAAAACCCATTGTGTGTGCTGGTACAGGGTTCTACTGCAACT